AATGATAGCAGTCAGCTTAAATAGCTGAGATCATCTTAAATAATAGCAATTAGGCGATTATGTAATCATTTTAGCAGGCCTGTTTTTGACATTAACTTTTAAGTTAACTTACAGTTCTCAGTCAGATTTCTCAGTCGGCAGTACATCAATAGTTTCTCAGTTATTTGTATCTGTAACAAAACTAGTTTTATATTTTTGGGGGTTTTTGTGATGCCAAACTTTTGAATAGTAGCGTATATCATGTATATCTGCAGTACGTTGAAGTGCTTATCTGCATCTGATCAAGAAAGAGAGCAGTGGGAGGGGTCTTTACGTGGGAGGGTTCTGGTCTGGTTGAAAGAAGTTGTACAGGTGGCGGTGGGTCTTTAGGGCTCTTGACCTTCGCTGAGAGAGAAAGTGTTGAAAGAGAGAGTGACCGGGTGTGAAAGGTCAACGCGCACTGTTTAATGTATGTATTTATGGACGGTCTCCAGGGTATTCTGTCTCTGCGGCAGATATGAAAGTGAACTTCTGTTCCTGTCTGCCTGGAATACATATGATGTGCTTGGGGGAACCAGGAGGGTGGGAGAGGTGGGGTGTTGGTTTTTTTTCCCCCTCCATGAAGGCTCATCAGACATGGCTTCGTGTTGTGTTTGATGTGGAGTCACTGTTGTCACGGCGATCGTGCCCTGGAGACTGATGCTCCGCTTTGTCCTTCACTCGCTGTCTCCCGCTCCTCATATCATAGCAACCAGATGGATGATGGACAGCTTGACGGACGTCTCCCAGGCGACGCCGTAGGCCTGTAATTAGATGGAGGGAGCGTATATGAATGGCAGGCAGTGTTGACATGCATTAGTGTGTGTTTGTGTGTGTTTTGCACATGTTATCTTAATGGAACACTTTTTAGAGAAAGTTCTACTATATAAAGGAGATGCACTGTGACATCGGAGTCACATCAGTATCGGTAGATCATTATTTAAAATAATTACCCGCATCAGACTGATGATTAGATTTGACTGGTATTTCACAGATATTTGACGACAAGTTTATTTTACTCCGGAAGGTCAGAATGTTTAGGTGATGTTGGGCTACTGTGCTAAAAAGTCTACATTTTTCCCATTTTACTGCATTGTAACCCTTTTGAAATACAAATAAGTGTTACGTTTCTCTGTATTGCTTACTGAGGTGGATTTAGTCTCAGTTTCTTCATTTTATAAATCTGTACAGTACTCTGCAAAAGACAGTGACCATCCATTCATTTTGTTTACAGTCAAAACAGCCATTAAGTACAAATGATTAATTTTTCAGTAAGTACAGGAGATATAAGATAATCCATTTATATAAAAAAGGGGAAGTCAGAGTGAAAAAACAGAAGTTTCCAAAAGTGGAGTATAAAAAGATTAAAGTGGTCCCGATAAACCGAAACTGTCCCCGGTCAGATAAACAGCACTTAAAGCTTTCATCTTTAAAGGGGGGAGAAAATCAAGCTGTTTCAGATTTGAGAAAATCCACAGGTGTTTCTGTCCGTCCTTCCACTGTGAAAAGACGATGCTTTGAAAGGATGTGTAGCTGTCAAGAAGCCTCACTGAGAAAAGGAGAATGCAAATAATTTGCATTTTGAGCACTTGAAGTGAGGACAAATATCTCTGCAGATTTCCTTGAGAAACTGAAAGTGAGTCTCCTGAAAAGAACGGAGGCTGTAATAAAGGAAGAGAGTGACACGCTGAATACTGAAAAATTAGGGATGCACAATGACATCAGAATCATATTGATATTGGCTGCTAATTATATATATATATATATATATATATATATATATATATATATATATATATATATATATATATATATTCAGTTTGACATCATTTGAAAATGTCTATTGCTCTTTATATATATATATATATATATTATAATGTAGTGTGATATGTCAATTATAATAATATAATCGTCATAGTAACAACTGACTGCAGTAATCCAAAGTAAATTCATGTAATGGAGATAAACAAGTAATATTGTACATATTTATGCTTAAATATGCTACATATAAAATAACTATGTATGTATCATTATTCATAATACATTTCTATTAATACCATTTCCTTCATTTAGACTTGACACATATTAAATTCCATTATGCTGTATGTAAGAAAAGGAAATGATCTGCATCATGATAGAAATGTCAATTCAACTCCAATATCCGCAAACAGCATGGCAAACAGTTTGTCATACTATTTCTAGGTATAAGACTCACCCTTCTGATGACTAATTACACTCTCTTCCCCAGAACCCATTCACCTGGCACCTGTCATCGGGTCCTCGTGTCTCAGCTCTTCTTTATTTTAGATAAGTCACTTCCAGAAACCACCCTTTGAGTCATTCATTCCTACGTGCAGCAACAGTGTTGTGCTTATTCAAGTTAGAAAAGGCTGAAGAGCGTTTAAGCTTTCAGGAGTTGATTTAACTCTATGGAGCAGTATGACTGGGGCTGTGATTGTTGCGGTTTACATGTTCTGTTACACCATGACTCCTTTTTAAAGCTTCTTTCTCGAGTTGAGCATGAATCAAGGGCTTCTCTCCCCGTCTCCCTTTTCTTTCTTCTTCTCTTGGTCTCACCGCCTCTCTTTTTTCTGTACTTTTCTCTCTGTAATTAAAGGAGATGCTTTCAGAAGCAATGGATGAGTCATGCCACAGTTTTCTGCCCACTAATTGTTTAGGGATGCAAGAGACACAGAGAAAAAGAAAGAGGGAGCCCGGCTGAACGAGAGTGAAATATGCTTGTTATAAGTAGGTTTATGTGATCAGTTTTTGACCAATGCAAAAAAAAAGTCAAATGGTGAGTGACCACCACTCTGTATCGCTGCTGTCGGAAGAAAACCTTATATCTATTTTTGTCATTTTTCAGTTTTTGACATAATTTGAAAATGCCTGTTGTCCTTTGCATTGTGTGTAAATTTCATGAATAATGGACCAAATGACTTGGAAAAAAGTCTGGTTCCATTGACTTACATTATGTTAAATTGTAATTATTTAAGTTAATATTAATAAAAATTATGCCAGCAAAAATCCTACTATTTAAGTCATTCTAATTCCATATTCCCATTCTGGACTATTTCTAAGTCAGTATTCAAATTTAAGCAAATTTGTGAATATCCCATGTTCAGGCCTTAACAAAACAGTCAGATTTTTTTTTCTTTCTTTCTTTGATTTTTTTTTCCCCAATTTAGTCGTGTCCAATTCCCCCCACTAGTTAGGACTCCCCCAATCGCACGATACTACCAGCACTAGGAGGGTGAAAGCTAACACAGGCTTCCTCCAAGACCTGCGAAGCACCACCGCATCTTTTCAAACTGCTGCTCACACAACGTCACTGGACAGCCGAACGCGCTCGGAGGAAAGCACCAACTGCTAGATCTGTTACATCAGCTAACAGACGCCGGCACTGACTAGCATCGCGCTGAGTGATGGGGGGAGAAAGGAGGCCATCCTACCCACCCAAAGAGAGCGAGGCCAATGTTGCTCTCTTGGGCTCCCAGCCACGGATGGCTGTAGCATTCGCAGGGTTCGAACTCGCAATCTCCTGATGATAGGGCCAACGCTTAGACGGTTGCGCCACTCGGGAGCTTTTTTTTCCTTTTACTCTTACTCTGTCCATTGAAGCTCAGACGACTCTTGAGTGGATTTGATTTCTTGAGGCTTTTGTCACTGTTAGAATACTAAACACTAATACAAATCCTAAGATTCATGTACATCTTTCAGAGATTCTGCTTTTCAGACAGATTGTTATGCTGATGATATAATTTGCAATTTTAAAAAATTATAAACTGGGGAGTGCATATTATGTTTTTAAACGTTAGTAGAGTTGACATATATCACCAAACTCTTAAGCCAGGATTGATGAAAAAGCTTTGTGTCTGCCGTTTCAGAAATCATTGCTCTGTGCATGCTTTATATGGGCTTCCACTGTGCCGGGCACCGCAGGCCTCCAGCTGCTGTTCAATAAGTCCATTGAGGGAGAGGGAGTTAATAGCTGGTTGGAGGAAAATACGATATCTCCCACTCTCTGCGCTCCACCTGTTGATGTACTGCCTGGTTCCATTATCTGCGTGAGCGTACGCCTGTCCCCTCTCGCCTGCGTCACTGGCCAACCTGTTATTCCATGCTGGTTGGACACCGATCAGAAATCACTTGAAATGCAGAGCTTATGTGTACACACACATCCACCGTGAAACCGTTACCATGACGAGCAGCGAGAGAGGTGTTAACTGCAGCCAGAGAGAGAGAGAGGGAGTGACCGAGAGAGAGTCGATGTAAATCTGGAAAAGCCATGTTTTTGGAATAATCTGAGGGCTGTGAGGCTGATGGGCATTTTGCTACAGTTTTGCATGATGGGTGTGGAATATGAACTTGCACGTTACCATGTTTTCACTGTTCAGGAAGGCTGCACAGTTTAGTGGGAATCACAGTTTTTGGCTTTGAATTTTTACTTTTCTCATGATTTTTCAGTTTGTAAAGAACAATATGTACACTGATCAAGTTTTTACATATCAAAACATGTATAATAGCAGCTCAGATATCAATATAAACAGCCATACCATATAAGATTCAAGATTTATGTATTTATTTAGCTTCTTGAGTGTTGTCACAAAGCAGCTTTGCAGAAAATCCAGGTCCAAGCCCCAACTGAGCAAACTAAGGGTGATCATGACGAGGAAAAACTCTCTAAGAGCAAGAGGAAGAAATCTTGAGAGGAGCCGAGACTCAGATGGGGGAAACCATCCTCCTCTGGTCGACACCGGATAGCAAAACAGTAACACAACAAGAGCAATATGAATAAAAAATAAACGAGCCTGTTATTGTACAGAAGTGTTTAGGTTAGAGTTTCCCAACCCAGTTCTCAGGGCCCCCAAGAGGGTCCACATTTTTGCTCCAACCTAACGTTTGTTTATTTTTTAGGATCCTCATTAGCTGCTATTATGATAGCAACAATCTTTCTGGGGTCCAGTAGACATACCATACATTGCAAAATTAGTCATACAAAACACAGGTAAAAAATAAATGAAAAACAAAAAGAAACTGAGAGAAAATAAAACATGAAAAGGGGAAAATAACATAGTAGGACCATTTAAAACATAAATAACAGTAGAAAGATGAGTGAAATCGGAAAAATCACACTGAAAGAAAAGGTCATTTTGGTATAACTCACAAAAACTTTAGCCGACTCTATTCTAGTGAGTATCTACATCCCTGCCCACCATTAAACTTCGCCATAGTGTTGTTCCAACTGTCAAGGGATGAGGAAAACTGTGAACAGTCTGGGGAGGGGGCCCAAGGACTGGGTAGGGAAACACTAGTTAGGATTGGGGTTTCTCAGTCTGTGGCTCAGAGACCACCAGTGGGCCACAAAGCACCCTGTAGTGAGCTCTGTGGAGGCAATAGTTTGTAGTGGGTGACGTCAAAGTCATAAAAAACATAAGTGAAAAAACGATCAACTTAATAATGAAGAATCGAAGAAACAAATGTTTTCAAATTATAATTAATATACATACAAATAAAAACATTTATACAAAGTGCACCTATGTAGTAAGTGGAGCTGATAAAATGGACAATGAGTGTAGAAACAAGGAGGTGGTCATAATGTTATGCCTGATCGGTGTATATGCAGAACTTTGAATATCTGTTAAGTACTCCATTGACATTAGTGAAGTATAATATTGTATCTTGGCATTAGGCTAATTTTAGGCACAAATCAACAGCACAAATGAGACAAACACAAGCTTGTTTCCCACCAGAAGCTGCATGCATGGCAGACAGATGTGACAAATGAGTGACAAATGCCATGGGAGTATTTTTTACATGCTTCTACAGGCATGCAGCTCACAGCAAACAGCAAAAAAAAAACATTCACTTTTATATTGATGTATCTCCCACCCCTGCTTATGTGGTACATATAACCCCTGAGTGAACAGCATCAAAATGCTTGTGGTAGTAAGTCATAAAACCTGTAGACCTCACTCAGATGACTTTGCTCATTGAATTCCTGAAATATTGCATTTAATGTGAATATACAGTCTATTCATGCTCTCTTGAGGCTGGAAAGGTTCTGTCGGATATCATTTTTTTCTCATCCTTTCTCTCCTGTTTCTGTCAAAATATTGCTTCAAAATGAGCTCCACTATTCCTGGATTGTTCTTGTATGCATGTACTCTACCTCTAAATGGATAATGTGCCTACAACTGCTGTGTAACAGGCCTGAGGAGAGAGATGGAAGGCATTGCTGTCTGAATATATTTATTCTTATATAGAATTCTACCTTTTCTAAGAGTTATTCTAAGCATGCTTATGTCTGTGACCAATTTTTTTCTTTTTGAAATTTCTGAAATGTCCCAATATTATTATTTTTTATATTAAAATGCTGGTACAAGCAGCAGATCTTTGGCACCTTCTTGACAGGCATGTAGACTAAATTTTCTTTTTCTGTTTTTTGGCAGAATCAAGCATGAGAATATCGTGGCCCTGGAAGATATCTACGAAAGCTCTGATCATCTTTACCTAATAATGCAACTGTGAGTATGCAAGAACATATTACTGCATGTCATATAACTTTTGTTGCTGGTAGTTTTTCATTAATATTGTGATTTTGAAGATTCCAGAACCGCACATTTGGTTCCTCAGTGTGTGTGCGTGTGCAAGATCCAGAAGGACAGGCTCCCACGCTGAAGCAGGCCATTAGATTAATTAAACCTTATTAACGAATAAGAATCATCAGCAATGATCTGATGTTCTTCTAGCATTGAGGGTGTAATAAAAGGCTAATGTTTCATAATGAGAGCAATCACAATCTTATTTCAGCGTGTGTATTCACAAGAGAGTGGTCTGCAATTTGAAATATCAGGCATGAATATTTTAAGCCAGCAGATTTCTGTACTTGCTTTTCTCTTGGAAAAAATAACTTATCAGTCCATGAGCCCAGAATCTTACATCAGCAATGCGTAGGGTTGGGCAGTATAATGGTAATAGGCAGAGGTGTGGACTCGAGACATATGACTTGGACTCGAGTCCGACTCAAGTCACGAATTTGATGACTTTCGAGAAAATCGATACTTTGAGACTTGGGACTCAAAGCATCAACAGCACCAGTGCACCCTCGCTCAGCACTTAAACTCCAGTCTTGCAGGAGAAACTTACCAGGCGGACTGAGCATTTTCCTCATGATAGCAAAACAAAAGAAACACAGCTCTGTCTGTTTGACCGATTTTAACAGCTTCTGCAGGTAAAACAAGCGCAACATTCACCACGAGGCTGAAGTTGAATTGTTATTCGCCAGCTTTATATTGGAATTTTCCATTCCACCTTAAATGGTGCAGTGGCTAGGTACCGGAACGAACTGCTGCACCATTTAAGGTGGAATGGAAAACTCCAATATGAAGCTGGCGAATAACAATTCAACTTCAGCTTCGTACATTCACCATCATTTTTTGTAAACTTTGTTTAGCTCGGTTGTTTTGGTGCCTGTTGTCGTCTAAATTTAAATCAAATTAGCGGTTCTTTTTAGTTTGCTGACCTAGTTTTTTTTTTATTTTAATCCTGTGTGCCCACTGTTCCCAAAAATCATCAAAAATTATGTTTAAATAGTTTTTTCGTTAAGTTTAGTAGTACTTTTAAAATTCTTTTTATATGTAGTGCACTACACTTTGTGTATAACAATATGCCTGGCATGGTTATCTGTGTACCATGGATTTTATATTGAGTTGGAAAGGTAAAAATAAATAAATCAATATACTCCCATTCACTGCTAACATGCTATCATTAAAAGGCTATAGTACTGTTACCATTATTCAGTGTTGTGGCCTTAAATTAGCTGAGGAATGCATACTGACTTGTTTAGAACTCGAAGATTAGGACTATTGACTTGGGACTCGAGACTGGCCCGTACTGACTCGGGACTTGAATTGAGACTCGACTATCTTGACTTCGGACTTGACTCGGGACTTGAATTGAGACTCGACTATCTTGACTTCGGACTTGACTCGGGACTTGAGTGTGAAGACTTGAGACTTACTTGTTACTTGCAACTTAGTGACTTGTTCCCACCTCTGGTGATAAGGTACACCATTAGCCTCAGTTAGCTGGAAACAAGCCTGTGCTGTGGTGTGTGGCACATTTGGCCTGCTGAGTAAGCTCTTGTTAGACGCTACAGTCTCAAACACCACAGAACAAGTTTGATTTTGGCTTTCTGTCACTCCAACACCAGTCGCTCGACTCAGCTTTCTCAGATGTGAGTCTTTATCATCTATGCTTGTGTCAGCAGAGCGCCAGTTAGTCAGAATTAAACCTGTACTGTGTTGTGTGGCACTGTTTAGGCCTGTAGCCTGCTTGCTAAGCTAACGTTAAGTTAGCCAATCAGGCTGCACATCCAAACACCACCATTTGATTTCGCCCTTTCTGCCCCTTCAGTGCCAGCAGCTCGACTTCTCTCCCTCAGATTTTAATCATCATCTAGACTTGTTTTGGTGCTTTAGTCAGCCAGAACTGAACGTTGTGCTGAAGAGAGTTGTTATCATCCTGGCAACACTAATGCTAACTAGCTCCTCTCTCCTCACTCATTTGGTGACTATGTAAGTGAACTGAAATTTTTAATTGCTTTCTGTTGTGAAATAACGAGGTGGCACAAAAGCAGCATAAATGCTTTTCCTTTACTTCCACCACTTTTACGGCTCCCCAGCACCCACCCCCACCCTCCTGGTACGATTGTGTTATGCAATAATATTTATTGACTCTTTGAAAGTATAAAACAAGTAGAAACTACCCAGTCCTAGCAATACAGCTGAATAACACTGCACTCTCAGAAATAAAGGTATGAAACTGTTACTGGGGTGGGACCCTCAAGGGTACATCTCAGTACCTTTAGTCAAGGAACATAACTGAACCATAATCCACTGAAATGATATTTTCTAAGCTGTACTGACTCCACACACCCCGTCTCGTCTCCAGGCTTTTTATTTTATTGTTCTGTTTTAAAACATTCGGTTATGAAAAGGTACAAATACAAACTTTTCACCTGGAAAAACTTATTTAAGGTTCACAACTGGACCTTAAAACCCCTGTTGTACCTTTCAGGGTACAATTACATTGTTTGTACCTAGATGAACTAAAAATGTACCTCCACTGTACCTTTATTTCTAACAGTGTGTGAAAGAATTTTCTGTGTTTGTTGGATGATTTAAATGCCCTGATTCAGCAAAACACTGCAGAATATCTGCTGAGATGATAAAACTGGCCGTAGCAGTATCACAGAGGCCAGTGTGGTGATGACGATTAACAAATGATGTATTGTGCAGCCTTAATTAGCAACACACAATAGCATTCAGTGACTTAATATCATCTTTCACTCCACGTGTAAAGAGTTCTAGAAACAGACTACTTCCCTGTGAGCGGTTCCCCTGCGGTCTCTTGTTGCTTTATCCCCTTTCAACGCGCACACACACACACACACACACACACACACACACACACACACACACACACACAGACTCAGTCATGGGTGAGTTTGACCTTTACTCAGGTGTATTAGGCTTTTTTCCCTGGCTGTCTCATGATGAGTTGTATGCTGTTGTAGGCAGGGAGACAGGGCTTAGTTCCAATAACCATAAGGTCAAACACAAGCCCTCACCGGACAGAGGGCTAGAAAACAAACTGATTAATCTCTCCGGATGAGGGAAACGTCCTTGTGCTGGGGACGGACAACTGACGATTCATCATAGAGTGTGTGTGGGACACAGGGCCATCTCTTGCTATGAGTATTTAGGGTTTCCATTTCAGGAGGGGGCTAGTATGTTGTTTGTTTGTTTGTTTTTATTTAGGTTAGTGGCTAACTAGCAGGGTTGGGCAGAATACTGAATTTTGTTGCTGTAGGAAAAAAAAACTTTGTATCTCCAAAAACATTATTGTCTTGTGATGGATGTTAAAATAAAGAGGTAATTTAGATGCTTCTATCGTTCCATTTGTCAGGGAATATTTATACAATGTAAACGGCAGCTGGTGTTTTCAAATTATGTAGAATATAAAAACAAAAAAATGTAAAAATGAAGAGGATTTTTGTCCTGACTGGTTCTGATTGTCTGTTTTCTTCGTGTAATTCTTCTGTTACTTTACTTTTCATTTGAAATAGGTTCCAGTTTTTTTTGCTGTCATTGCCTGTTTCAGTCCACAGAAAGAGGACTGACTCTTGTTTCATTAACTCAGCAATTTTAGGACACTTTGCTAAATGCTCATCATAAAAGCTGTACAGTCATGTCTTGTGTGTTTTCTAAGCTGTCACAAACCTCCTAATCTTCCCCATGTTGATAAATGATTACGGAATTTAGTCTCGGCATCTCCTCATATTTATACCCTGGTGAAACAGGAAGTCATGGATGACCGCTTAAGAGTTCATCTTGTTAACAGTTGCATTTTATTTTCAGCATTATCAATTAGGGATGCATCAATACCATTTTTTCAGATTGACTATGAGTCCATATTTTTTAGTACTCATAGAGTCCAATACCATACTGAATAACCTAGAATTAAGTAGTCGTTAGTGTAAATGAGTGCAGTGTACCATAAAAATAAAATAATTAAAATCTAGCTAATTTTAAATGAAATGAGCGAAAACAGACCACGGTACTGGAAATAAGCAAGTAGTGTTGCTTCGAGATGCAGCAAAACACTTTTGGGGTGACACTGAAACCAACTACATGCTTGATAAAATGAATGATTTCAATATTTATCTTCTAGATGATGTTTGTTCATAGTTTCAGTTCTTCTGTGAGGGTGGTTGCAAAGCAGAAATCTGGTTACTGCCTGACCCATGTAGACCTGGGGTTTCGCATTATCTTAATACTACCATATGAGATTACTGACAAAATCTGATTTTCTTCAGTTATCGGATTATGAAGTGCATTTAATGTGTGTGTGTGTGTGTGTGTGTGTGTGTGTGTGTGTGTGTGTTTAAAATGGGCTAAAATCACACACTGTATTCCTGGCGAGAATCTGCCAAGGCAGAATGTTTGAAGTGACCGACGACTTTGTGACCGCCAGTCACCAGATCAGTAGCGCTTCTGTGTGAGCAGAGCCTCCGTCACTGCGTTTGTTCATTAGCGCAGCAGCTACACTCGGCTTACGTCACAGCAGGTATTGGAATGTTGATATCAGTCCATTTTCAGACCAATACCCGATACCGGTATCGGTATTGATGCATCCCTATTATTGATAATGTTGAACAGTTGTTTCAGCTGTAATTGTGAGTACCTTAGCATTAATTAAACTTGTATCCTAATCGAGATAAATGAAGTATTTATTCTTTTTTCATTCTTGCGTACAAAATAATGACTGGGGTGAGGTGGAGAGGTCCCAGATGAGATGTGTCAGATGTTACGAAACGGCCCTGTGTGAGAGAGGACAAAAGGGTAATGGAGCTGAGTGAGAAAAGTAAAGAAATCCAGTACTCGATACTCAGTACTATCAGCAGCTCATCTAAGGTTGCAAACACAAAGAGCTGTGATTGTCACCGCAGGCATGGGTGTGC